ATGGGGGATGAACCATCTAAATTGATAAGAGGGCTCTGAGGGCTTCTGGGGCTTGGCGTTGTTTTTTTGCATTTCTTCATCTTCTTTTTCTTCTTCTACTTCTACTTCATCTGCAGCTATGATTCTGCTTCAATAAAATTACATGGCCTGGCTTCCACAATGATGTAATTTTCACTGTTGTTGTATAAAGACAAGAAGCCTAAACAGGAAGAATGAACTGTAGATATGCTCTGACCTTATTACCGATCTCTGTTGCTTTGCCACCTATTCAGTGTGGTGAGAATTGCAAGTTGGTGTCACAATAATCAGGGAATGCTAAAAATCCAGGTAGGTATGCTGTGAACAAGAGGTAAGACAGCAAGATAATGTACAACGGAGGTGGGGAATATGGGGCCCTCCTAGCCCATAACTCTCATCATCCTGCACTACTGGCTATATGGCTAAAACTGATAGGAGTTGCAGTTCAGCTACATCAGGAGGGCCTTGTATGCCCTGCCTTTGACAGAGAGAATGCTCCCTTCTTCTGAGCATGGATAGAGGGTTGGATGCTGTCTCAAGAACAGATGTGGAAAAGAGATCCTTGACCCACAGCAGGGCCTACAGCATCAGTTCAGGGGTTGAGTCATGTACGGCCATCTTCTTGCTCCCACTCCTGCCTTTCTGTAGGCAGTTCAGGTGCACATCACCCAGGAAGCTTTCCAGAAATGTGCAGCATTGCAAGAGCACTTGCTAGCGGCTTCCTTGCCCTTCCTAGAAGTGCAACCCACCCATCTTAGATATCAATGGTACCCCAGACCTTAGCTTGCTGCCTGACTGGGGACCAGCAAGGGTTTGTTCCCCCTGCCATCCTGATTTTGCCTTTCTTGTGTTATCACCTTTAGAGTATGTAAATGGTTCTTCCTGGCTAGGGCATGCTGAGACTAGTCGCTCCTTTTGCTATCTGGTTTCTGTCCTAAATCGAGGAAGTACACAATCTGCATTAAATCAAGAAAGAAATAAAGAATTAAGACACAGGGTGGGGTGGCCATGATAAGAGAACTGGAACGTTCCTATGGAATGAGCAGGAAAGCAGTTGCTTGGGAATCCTAGATGCAGAGAAAAGCAGTACCACATTATCCCTTCTCCAATATATCTGCAGTTTCCAGGAAATGCACAGCTTGACAATTACCCATTTAAATTTTATCTGAAGCCTCAGTGACCATTTGCATTACTTTTTTTGGCCTGATTCTCAAGGTGGATAAGCTGCCTTAACGTTTTAAAGGTAAAGTAAGGGCTTAAGCACTCATGATTTCCCTCAGCACTTCAACTGAGGATCAGGACATAGCCTATTATAAAAGCAACCCAAGCCCCATGATATTAATAATAACTCTCTCACACATTCTTCAACAATGAGAAACTTGTCAGAATATATAGGTACAATAAAATAAGTTTGAGCTACAAGATGCCAATTGAACTGAACTACAAACACCCTCACACCTTGATATTGAAGGGGTGCACAAAGAAATAGGTCCTAGGTGAACTGATACTCACAATTACACAGAAAATCACACTTTGACTTGTGTTACCCAAAAACACAGACACGAAATTCCAAATATGTCTTCTAAAAAGGATAAAAGATTTTAAAAGTAGCTTTGGAAGGTGACAATGTTGTGTAAGAATTCAAAAGGAAAGAATAGCAAATCTTGCTCAGAAGTTGACCACAGCATTCAATCTGTTAAACAAGAGATTCTGTGGGGGAGATCAAAGTTTGAGCATGTGCTTAATTTGGATCCACTGAAGGTGATGGGGCTGGTCCCCTTTCCACCAAGCGGTTGTTCCAGTCCTTTCCAAAATGATACATGGGGGTTTAAGGAACCATGCTGAGTGGGGTACTCAGTATAACATTAACCAAAGCCTGGATCCAAAAGTCAAGCTACAAAATCCCTACTTTTCTTTTTTTATCTAGGAGGTCTTTCCCCTAATCACAAAAATATAAACAGCAACTGTTCATGAGGCGGGGCAGAATGGGGGTAGACAGTAACAGAAAGGTTCTTTGCAAAGACATTTTCTTTATTATTCCTGCACATGCTCCATATAGAGTCCCAGAGCTTTGGTTTCATGGCTCCATCTTGGAAGGGCTTTATTGGACCTCTACCTACCATAGCAGATGCAAATCTAGAACCCAGTGTGGCCTCCAGCAGGCACATAAATCTCTAGCACATGCAGCCAGCACTATTCACTCTGAAGAAATAAGTTGTTCTGTGCTTGGGGAAAAGGTCTACATAATACAGTTCTCTCCTTTGAAATAAAGCTATTTTGATAGCAAAAGCAAGAGAGAGAGAGAGCGAGAGAGAGAGAAGAAAAGGAAGCAACAGTCCTACTGTACAGTGTACAGTTCAGCCTGGCATGTGGCAGCAATGGCACCATCGAAAGCTAATGATACACACAAATATAAAATGCTCTGGATTTTTAAACAAGCACTGGAGATAGTTTGTATTCATTTACAGTGCAATCCAGAGTAATCAGCCCTGAGCAAAGTTCTCCTCTTTCAAACTTATATACCCAGGTTAAGGATATATAAGTTTGCAGTCTGATTTAACTAATGTCAGTTATGCCAAGAACTCCTTTTATTCAGAGTACCACAGTAACAGTGCTAAGCTCCTGAAGGCTTAGAGTTCCTTGGGGCTGAACCAGGGAAGCCAAAGAAAAATGCAAATAGGGAATTTTAAAAAAATATTATTTTTTCACTGACATACTTGACACCACTACTGGAGAATGAACAAAGAACACACTGTCAAAGAGGGAACCTGCACAGAAAGTTACTGTTTGTTCTCCATGAATGCAGAGGTATATTTACTAAAAGAAAGACATTCCATTCCTCTCCAGAGATTCCCCTTCATTCAGAAGAACGGCAGGGCTGTGTTCACATCCCTTCAGTTCAGGTTAACTCAGCACTTTGGTTACAGACCTCTATTTGCAAGAGCAACATTCACCGGCTATAAACATTAATCCTTGATTTAAACTTGCCATTACTTGGCTCCAGTTTGAGCACCATTTTATTTGCATGCAATATTTTGCTTTGGTAAGCTACGTGAGGACATTTAAATATTGAACTAGTGGAAAATTACCATGCAGGAGACATTCTTTGGCACATAATTCCTGTAACTCAAATATTAGTTTCACGAAAAACCAATATAAGAATTTTAAAGCACTTGCTAGCTTTCCCACCTGAAAAAAAATAGGTCTCCTGCACTATGAAAGTAACAAAAACAAAAGGGAAATACCTACAGGTGTTATAAAGGATTGCCTTTATTTACTGAACTGGCACAATGCAATCGAGCATTTAAAGGTCTTATTGTCCCTTCCTTTTAAAAGAGATGCATGTGTATTTTAGAGTATTGCATTGCATCTGTCTGGGGATTGCCATATGACTTCTTGAATCACTTGTCATGTTCCTTTTTTTTTTTTTTTTAAAGAACTTGCCTTAAGCCTTTCGATCCACATCAGGGGCCCTGCTCTCCGATACAACTTTAGCAACAATTTGACTGGTGGGTACCACAGAAAGGAACATTCCGGTGGTGGGATCAACGTTGATGTATTCCCTCTACAACAAGGGACGAATCCAATTTCAGAGGAGCTCTGGCAGGTTGCCTCCCAATGTGGTTGGAGCCAAAGGCAAGGGGGTGGGTCCAAAGATTCAAATCTCCCCATATGGTAACTGAAAACTCTTCTTGCCTGTAACTAAGCCTTAGGAGAGATGTTTCAACCTTTTAGACTGGGGGAAAACTGCACAAAACCCGCAAATGAGGATGGGGACAGGAGATGGAGATGTGGCCCTTTGGGGAACTCCTGAAGGCAGCCTGGGGCTACCAGAGGGTTTGAGTGGGGCCCCATACCTGAGATTTCCCAGTTCTGCTCTACAAAAAATTCCAAAAGGTTTCTACTTTTAGGAACAACCTGAAAAGCTTTCTCTCAAGATGGTGTTTTAAGATTGATTTCTGCTCTTCTGCTGGTTTAAAATGTTGCTATTCTTTTAGTTGCATATTACTGATATTTTAAAAAAATGAACTTTGCTAATGTTATGTTTTGTTAATGCAAGCCATTTGGGGAAACTACTTTAAAAAGTGGGATATCAGTAACAGGAAATATCTTTTCCCATGATTATCTTCCTGGGAATTAACCATCAACCTTCTGGCTAAGGTGAATTTCTTTGCAAAACAGAGTATTTCTATAGGGCAGCTTTTACCCTTTTTGACCTGCTCCACTGCTGAACAGTGGACAGAAAAGAGAGCCACATTATTTTTTAGAAAGAGACAGATTATGACTAAATGATTTGGGGAGGGTGAGTGAAGGTACTGATATATTTTGGCTATCTAAAAAGAAGATATAAGACAAAGGAATTCTAGCTGAGGAAAAGGAGGGGTTAATAAACAAGGCAGCAGAGGAGGTGGCAGCAAAATCAAGAAACAGAACTTTTCCTTAAATACATCACTTTAGTTATTTTAACAGTATGTGTACATAGTGTAGAAATGAAGTCGTCCTGAGTAGTGGTAAGCAAATTATAGGATTCTGAATTTCAAGTACTTAAGGACAAGCAAAACACTTTTACAAAGAAAACTATGCAGCAGTCCGTCTCAAGATCTATTCAAATGAGGTAATAATTAGACATAAAAAACCTAATCAGACATTAAAAAACTGGGGGAGAAGCCTAGTTTCCTAAAAATAAGATTAATACAGTTTCCTGAAACTTAGTTTCATTAAGTTTTCTAAATTATTACACCCAAACTCTTCCCACTGGAAATAGCACTAGGTAGGCATACCTTTGTGTACTCCACCCTAAGATTGCAAAGCAGACTGTCTGTGTGTGTGTGTGTACACGTGTGTGGCCAAGAAATATTAACTCTCTGTGGCAAATTCCTCTAGCATGTTAATTAATGACCAAGGAATGCCAGCTATGAATACAGAACAAAATGGCAATTCCCTAATACACATTTGCGGGTGGGGGAGAGAAAGGAAATTACCAGTCAGAAGAGTCTTCTTGTTTTTCAGATGTAGGAGATATTAATATTTTTGTTCTTGTACATCCAGAACTTGTTGACTTAGCCCTTTCTTAATGTTTAGCTTCTCTCTACTTTTAACTGAAGAACAGGAACCTGCAATTGAGAAGGGAAGAGAAGGCGATAAGAACACGAAAGAATTTCAGCTGCTGGCTGCTGCTACTGTTCTAGGAGCATTTGAGCTATTTTCAGCACCCAATGGGTTTGTCTGCAGTAAGAGAAACTAGAAAAGTACAGAGGCAGGAAACTCACAACAACTTTGCTCCCTCTTCAGTTTCCACACATTTGCAATATGAAGAAAAATCCATTTGCAGACCATTTAAAGAAGCCGTTGCCTATTTACGCAATAAACTGACCTTGATTGCTTTCATTTTCCTTGGACCCAGTGGCCAGCCTGGAAAAAATATGTAATTATTATGCCTCCTTTAACAGTATCAACCCAGTTTTTCAGAACCAGGAGCTTTCCCAGCCCTATACTTTATTTTGTATCCAAGGGGTTTGGTTCTGTTTGGTGTCCGTGCCCAGTGACAAACACAGCTTCCTGAGAGAGTAGCCAGAAGTTTATTTCCAGTTTGCTACTCAGATTTTGGAATCGACAACCCTGCTATTTTGGAATGTTAGAGACCTAAAACTGCTGACATTGTAGTGCTTATCTGACAGTGGAATCCAGGAGCCAATCAGGATTGCAGTTACTCACTGGCTCGCTTGCATGGGAAAGCAACTGGTGCTCTCTTCGGGTTAGGTTATCACAGAAAAGATATTCAATGAGCCATCAATTTCATTAGAGCACATTGTTGATAACTAAGCCTATATAGTCCTTCAAGTACTCAGTGTGCTTAATATCTCTGTTTTAAGAGATCTGACATATCTTTTATCCTTTCACTTTGTGATTTGTGAACCAGCTAGAAAAAACTTCAGATATTGGATGGTATAGAAATATAGTAAATACATACACACACATATGTGATTTCATTGTAAGAACTTTGTAAAATACATATTATTATTATTCCTATTTGGTTGATGGCTCTGATGGCTAGGAATAATGGGAGTTCCAGTGTAACACTTCTAAAGGGCACTGGATTGGGGATTGCTTTAGATGGGCAGAAAAAATCCAGTGCCATCTTCATATCACTACAGTTAATTTTATAGTGCCCTCCACAGGACTTTTATTTCCACTTGATTCAACAACTAGCAATCTAAAGTTAATGTTTTGCGCCTAAGCTATGAAGAACACATGACTGTGAGATATATATGTAAACACATTGCTATATCTTTAAATCTTGTGCATATTTCCACTTAATTGGCCATAATTCATTACAGGATAAATTCACCCCATATCTTCCTATATCTTTGCACTGAATGAACAAGAGTATCATTTGGATAGAGGGAGAAATGTTCTGCCACTGCCAGTAACACACAGTCAAACAAAGAAAACCTGCACAGTCAAGTTCCAAAAAAAGAAAGGCACTTAATTAGTTTCTTAAGATTTCCTAGATATTTCATTCAAGTATGAAAAACCCTACCTCTCTGAGAAGAAAGATCCCCAGAGATTTCTCTTACTGCTGCCCCTACTAAATATACCTGACATTTAAAATAATACATTACTAATGGATTAGTCCTACACAATGGTGCACTGACAAGGCAGGAAATGTGATCAGATGGGTATGAAGGGTCCTCCCACTGCTATTATTTGTGATCCTACCCAAGCACCAGGGGCAAGAATCAGAGAGGGTCCAGCACCCACCATCACTGCTGTGCTGCTGGATGTTTCTTTATTTTTACACACCCCGGGGGGAGGGGGGATGGTCATTTAACAGTGCAGCATCCAAGTAGCGCAAATAGGTTCTGCAACCAGGTACAGCGGTCCTGTTGGTGGGTGGCTCAGCTTTCCAGGTAAGTGGTTTTTGCCCTGTTCTGGACGGGGCTGCATTCCCCCTACAGGACAGGATATGTAGTCTGGGAGTGCTTCTTGACCCAGCATTATCCTTGGAGTTCCAGGTGATCGCTGAGGGGAGGAAAGCTTTCCACCAGCTTCATTTGGTCCATCAACATGGATGACCAGAGCCTGGCAACAGTGACCCTTTTCTCAATTGGACTATTGTAATGTGCTCTACGTGGGGCTGCCCTTGAAGACAGTCCAGATACTTCAACCAGTCCAGAACAGAGCAGCCAGGTTTTTGACAGGGACTGGTAGGTATGCTCACATCTGCACTGGCTACAAGTTTACGTCCAGGTCCAATTTAAAGTTTTAATGATGACGTATAAAGCCCTAAATTGTTTAGGGCTTAGGTGCTAGGGTCTTCTTTAAACACCTGCCTGCCCCTTAAGATCCGGGTCTGAGGTCCTTCTTTGGGAGCCCTCTCTGAAGAAGATCCAAAGAGTGGCTACCTAGGGAAGGGTCTTTTCTGTGGTGGAGCCCTGGCTTTGAAATCTGCTTCCCAGAGAGGTGCGCCAGACTAAAACCTTTTTATTTTCCCTGCATTTTAAGATTTAATTGTGATTTTAATACTGGGTTTTATTAGGGTTATACTTCATTGTGTGCTGCCTCTTTGTTTTGTTCTGTATCACTGTCCTGAGACTCCTGTAAAGGATGGGATAAGAATGCTTTAAATAACAACCACCACCACCTTCCTATTAATCAGTCTCCTGTTCTGATGGTGAGAAGAATGCTACTGCCTACTTGCTCACTTGCTTTCTCTCAGTGTCAGGCAAATGGTGGCAGTGCTAAGAAAACAGATGCAAAGGAACAGAAGCTGGTAACAGTGTCAGAGTGAAGGTAGAATGAAAGAGAATGAAGAAAGTGGCGCAGGGAGGTGTCCTACCCAAGGAACCACCAGAACCTGGGGCTGGTGCTTCTAGTTACTTTGAAGAAACCAGCCCCTTCCTACCAAAAATCCTGCATTTTGTTGCTCCACTTGGCTGTTTCAGGTTTTGTCTGCAACAGAATATAATGAGATACTGCTACTCACATTCCAGCCAGACAGATGCAAGGAAAACCAAATGTGTGCTGCTTTGCAGAACTATAGCTATTTTTTGTCCTCCAAAACAGGGTTCTCAAGCAGACAGACTGGCTATCCTATGATCCCTCCATTTACCAGCAGCACAAAATTCAGTATGGCAATTTAATAATTTTGCTGTAAAGCTTACCATCACTTTGAAGCATTTAGTAAGCTTGTTAAGTAGTGTTACTTTACTCTGTATTAATCATTTATGGCAGCTACCCAGTGATAATTCTCTGCCTTGCTTGCTTTCAAGAAACACATTAATAGGTTGTAAATATTATTAAAAATAATACAGCCAGTCTCTGTCTCTCTAGGCCATACTCAATTAACTCTAAAAGCCTATCAAGCAAAAAAAATAGATTTGAAAAAGGAATTCAGAAACCTCATATTGATATTTTGGCTACTGTCACAGGTTTAGTGCATTATAATTTTTCAGCAATATTATTGATACCATTTGCTATTTTTGCTACCAGTACTGGCATTTATACTGACATATGACAAGTGCTTTGGAAAGTATTACATCTATCATACATACATTTGCCTATCAACTGTTTTTAGCCATAATAGCTAAATGGAAATATGGTTTCCACAAGCACACTTTTCTGTGCCAGATGCCAGGGACAAACAACAGTGCAACACCATCACCTTCACACACTGCCTGAGAACCCCTCGGAGCATCTGACTGGCCATTTGGTTGGGATCTAGACATTTGGTTAGATGCCCTTTCTATAGATTCCCAGGTAGCTTTCCTTAGGTTCCCAAAGTACTGGCTTGTAGCCAGTCTTACCCTAACTAAGGTTCCATTCATGTCGATAATCTACTCTATGTAGGTCTACAACCCAACAGCAGCATTTCAGCATGAGACCAGACAAACATTTTCCATAACATCTCCATAACCTTCTGGAATACCTTCACATATTTGTGTTCAATGCCAGTTTTACACTAACATCAAACCCATGGACTGGTCAGAGTCCACCTTCCAAGATGGCTTGCTGCTGATCCCAGCACCAGCTCTTTACAGTACATGAACACGTAAATCTTATAGCTCCAACTGGAGCAAAGGCGGCTGAGTAAGATGTTCTTGAAAAGGTGACCAAAGGAAGAATTCAAGAAGGTAATTTGGAGAGATTCATGTAACCTATAGGGAACTACCTACCAAAAAAGAGAGGAAATGAGTCCCTGCGGATTTTATTCCACTAGCTGAAACGGCAGTAGGGAGCATTGCTTATCTCCATTTCAAAGGCCATGAGCCAGCACTTTCCGAAGACATTCCTGGTCATGTACGTAGCCAGCTTGACATCACGGGGCTCTGTTTCCTCCCTACAGGAGTGGTACATACTGAAAGGACTCTATAATTATTCTTTTTCACAGAGAAAAGCAAAATACAGATACCTGCAGAATTTTTCATTCTGCATCGATCCTTATAGTTTGGTGGACCTAATTTAAAAATGGTTCCACGTGCTGGAAATTGCTATCCAAGGCATTCATCCCCCCAACACCCCCTTTCCCAGTACTACCCTAGATAGAAATACAGACAAATATGGTTTAGGTTTCTGGATGACAAGGCATTTTTGATTTTTTCCAGCCCTTTTTTCATGTAAAACAAAATGGTAAAGAATACAATGGGTGCAACCCAAAAAATATTAGGCAAAGTGGTTAAGGGGAGTATGGGCATTGATTGGCCATAATGCTCCCTTTATGTTACTGGGATCCAGTACACATGCAGCAGGAAGCCAGAAGTTCTTAAAGCCAGAAATGAGCCAAAACATTAAGTCTCAGGATAGGTCAGCTCAGCAAGCTCACAAAAGGAAGCAATGCTGACCTGTTTTGTTCTGAAGCAAGCATTTTGACTTGTTTACATGGTTGCTTTAGGAAGTACGAGTGGTCAGTTGCGTAGGCAGAATAGAATGAGCAGCAATGCAAGGGCAGCATTAGAGACAGCCTGTTTATCTTAACTGTAAGGGCATTGTAAATTACGGCCAGCAGGGTTCAAGTATTCCAAGATTTCCTTGGACTGAATCCACAGTTTCTGTAACAAGATAGGCATACCTCCATATAATAATGGATAGAAATATTTAGCAGGAAACAGGATACAAAGCCAGATTCTTTACAAATGCAGAGCCACCTAAAAGTAATTTCCCAGAGTAGTGGGAAACTACTGTGGAGCACTGAATTTTGGTTCGATTGCTGTGTGTGCACACACACGGCTGCTGCACTGATGGCACTATGACAAGAATTCTTATGCATGGTCTCACATACTGTAGGTGACAACAAACCTAGCTGCATCTGGGTGGAGTCAAGTGTTTCCTGGTCTGTTCTATTCTTGCTTAAGAGAGACAATGAACTTCCTGTTGAGCTTCCTGACTTGCATGTCCTCAACATGACACCCTTCATTTCTTAATATATTTTTTCCAATACTCAATCATGTGTTTCCCTTGTGCAATATATTAAGAATGGAATATTGGGAGCATTGGGTCGAATAACTCTTGCCATTCTTGCACTCTTATCTCAGATCAAATCTAATCATGTATCCTATTAAATAATTTGACCAATGATAACTAATGATTTGCGCCATAGCAGAGGGTGGGGCAGATCCAGCAGCAACTACGGATTGAAACAGCTGTTTAAATTTGCACACTGGTAAGTTCCTTGAATTAAGGAACCCAAACAAGCAGCAACTATGTTTGATGGGTCACATATCTTCTAAGCATCAAGTGGCGTTTTGACAGATAGGAGAGTTAGCCTGTCCTCTCCCCTTCTCCCATGTCATGGCTGCTTCCTGTCTTTTGTCCCTCAGGTAGACAAGAACAATGCAGGTTTTTACTATGAAAAGACAGTACACTGTGGAGACTGTGCCTGTATTAAGCAGCCTCTGCAGTCATTGAGTCATTCAGCTTCATAAAGTTGTGGAACAGAAAACCAGGAGTCTTGCTAGCCAAACCACAAATAGCTTATTCCTCTTGGAAAAGGGAAGGAGAAGCTTTCAACAGACAGCTTCAAGGAACCAATACCTACACAGATGTCACTAAGATGGTCACTTCTGTACTGCATCATTTCAGTCTGTAGAAATCTACAGAAATCTACAGAAATCTGTACTCTGAAATGGTACCCTGCATAGGTACCGAAATGATACTGATCAACCACTGTCTGGGAAAACCAGGCCTCAAGTGGATATTGTTTTGTCATCTTTCAGGAATAAGTGGCATGGTTCCCTCTCCAAAAAGCCCGATTTAGAGCTGAGATATCCCTGACAATGCTGGACTAAGCCTGCATTGGCATAGTTGTAACTTTAAACAGAACTGGCCAGTTCATCTGACTGCAAGTAACCATGCTCAAGCCATAAATATAGCAAAGAACCCTTATAAATAAGTTGTAAGGAGACACACCCTGAAAGCAGTGCCAGGTTTACAAATACCGTGAGTCATTTAGTCTTTGGTGGAACCGAGTGCTGGCTTGGGGCAGTTCAGGAAGATGAGTGGCTACTGCTGAGTGTGACCCACAAAGGACAAAGTAAAGAAGAAAAGGTGGATGCAGGATGACAAAGATTATATATGAGTGGCTCAGAACTACAGAGTGTTCTGCAGTGTGCACTGCCAATGGAAAGAAATCACCTAAGTTGTCAAATTGCAGAGGGGGAGCCATGTAAGTTCACCATGAAATTTAGAGATCAAAAAGAAGCATTGCCAGGCTACAAAGTAATACGTCCTCACTGTCCTTGTTTCCCGGGCACCGTTCTCTTTTAAATCACTGCCACTGGTGGTGTGGCAGAGACAGGCCTTGCAGGGATGCAGCACCTTCCCAGGGATGCAGCACCTTCCTTTGGATTTGCTAGGACACTGCCCACTGCCATCCCCACCCACAGAATTCCTTGCTCCCTCTGAGCTTAAGGTGCAACACACACAGTAGTGGGGTGGGAGGGAAGGCGGGGTGGGAGGGATAAATGTCCCCAACAATACATTGTTACCTCTTATAATGCAAACTATTTGGGGGTACCTTAGTCTTGAATGGGCAATTTAGACCATTGAGCTTTACCTAATGGAGCTGAAAACTGCTAGAGCTATTATGGATATGGATAACACAGCTGCCTGCATTTTTGGAGGGTCCTTCAGGGCAAGACTATGGGGATTTCCATGATGAGCACCTGTATTTGCAAGCTATACCACTGACTGTCATTACTTTTGAATTTGAGGGATAACTTATTAAAATGTTTATGTTCCCACATGTTTTAGCCTTAAAACATTTAATTTCAAATTTATAAATTATGTTATGTGTTGGTAAACTTTCCTTAATTAGTTTAGGGCAGACCCAATGAAAATCAGTGGGATTGTAGTTAGATCTATCCATCTAACTATCCATAAGATTTATATTCTGCTTTTTTCATACAATGAACTTAAAGTGGCTGACATCATTCTCCTCCTGCTCTAAATATTATCCCCAGAACAATAATCCTGTGAGGTAGGCTGGGTTGAGAGTCTGTGACTGGCCCAAAGTCACCCAGTTGGCTCCATGGCTAAGCAGGGACTAGAACCCAGATCTCCTGAGCTCTGGTTTCACACTCTTAACAACTACACTACATTGGCTCTCTATAGTTAAGTATGAATTTAAGTCTGACTATGAAGTAATATCTAATAGCATCCTGCCCCCCGATTGATTCCAATGCATCCCCGCTTACTCTAATCTACAAGGGAGCTTCATCAGTTATATAACCAACATTTAGCACTTTCAGGAGCATCTGGAAATAAATGGAAGTGCCCCACTCTGGAACAGGGAAGGTCAGTGGAACTTGAACTTGCCCCACTGAATACTGCCCTAAGTCTGGATCAAACCCAATTAATTAAAAATTAGGCATTTTTCTAAGCTATGCCTCAAATGCATTACCTAACAGGGGACTTGCCTGAACCCTGCTAATTTTAATTGTTACTTTCTGCAGTATTCTTTTTGGGAGGATGCGTCAAGACTGTTTATAATATTCTAACTATGGAACCATCAGCTTTGTTCAGTTTAAAAGAAATGATACTAGCAGTTTTATTTTCCATTTCTCTGTTAATACCGCCTTTGCTTCCTTGGGTAATAGCCAAGCTGAGTTTTTATGAATGATTCAGGAGTTGTTTTCCCCTTCCCTTGTGAATCTTGTATTGCAATCCTTGGAAGCTCACTGCGATAAGTTCCCTAGTGAGGACAAAAAGGCTCACACTCATGCTGATTTGAACATTACTGTTGATATTGTGCTTGGGTTCAGGCAACACTTGAGGATGGGAAATGTGTGAGCTGTCATTGAACCTATGGGTGGTTGTGTTGCCTGAACCCAGTTGTGCTAACAAGCCATGTTTGCTAATAGCAAGCAGCCCATGAAGAGCACCTATGCTTTTTGGTTGGGTTGTGAACTCTGTTGCATATTTATAGGTTTGCATGTATATTGCTTTTACAAGGTTTTAATTTTTGTAGACTGTCCAGAGAGCTGTGGCTATTGGGAAGTATAGAAATACAACGAATGAAATGAAATTAATACAGTGCGTACCATAGGTGGACAAGTACCTTCAACAATGTGGTTATGAGCAACAATAAAAGTGAAGGTGCTACAGCAAGGGTGATAAAAACATAAAAACGTCTTCTCTTTTCACCTACAAATGCTAGTGGGTATGCCCATTTTATGGGTGACGTGCTACCAGGAAAGTTTGGATCCGGGTGGAGTCTCACTACTCCTTTCCCTGTCCTTTGAATGCCTACCAAGCACTGGCTCCATGGTCACGCTTCTGCCCTCATGGTTCTTGCTGCAGTACAAGGACAGAGCTGAGACTTGAGTCACTTCTATGGCTGGGTAAACAGGATATTAGCAGCCACAGGATTGCATCCTTTGTGATCCAGTGCACGTTATCTTGCAGTCCTGTACACACTGACAAGGGTGGTCTCAGTGGGATTTGCTTCTGAGTACAGATGTATAGGATTGCACTATTAACCCAGGAAAGTGAGCAGATCATTTCGTTTAAATAAGTGTACTTATTTTAAAATAAGAACTGTACACCTAACTGCAATTAGGAGGTATAAACCAGCAGTTGTTAAAGTACGTGGATAATAAAAGTATAATAAGGCGCAAAAGATGTATTGGTTTATAACTACTGTCCAAGAACATGAATTTATTTACTCTTCATTAAACATAATTATGGGCATTTCATCACTTGTAGCAGTTAGTATCACCATGTTCCTACTAAAGAAAATGGGTTAGAAGACACAAAAGCATGAAGAGATGGCTGGAGACTGCAGAGCATTTCCACCAATAGTACTCACAATGTCTTACCATTCGTTGAATAGTGACACTCTTGGGAGGTGTCTCCATGAGTAAGTCCTTGTTTTGGGGCAAGAGTGCTGAGGGCCAACTTAGCCTACTCAGGCTCACAACGGCAGCCCTCTGAGGTTTCCCAGAGAGCCATGTCTCCTTTGCATCCAACTATTTCTGGTCACTTGGTGGTTTCCTGACTTTTGTACATTACCTCTCTCCCTCCCCTCCATTATAAAAAGTTGAAAAATGTTCCTCCTCAAACTTAGTTCCGGCACTGGAGCTTTAAGCTAATCAACACTGGTATTTTTGGCTCACTCATTTTGTCTTTCACTCCACCCATACCTATAGTGCAGCTCCTAAGATCTCCGAAATTGAATGTGTTCCTCAGGCTGAAAGGGGTTCAACCTCCCTCTTTTGGGGATGAAATGAGAAGACCCCAAAACTAACCTTTCCTTTCCGAACTCACACAATCAATGGGCTTGTAGAACTTTCCTCTTGTCATAAAATTTTTATAGAGGGAAACTCTATAAATGACTAAATTGACAGGAAGAAAACAAAGCACTCTAAGTCCTCACCTGGAAGAAAATATTGTTTAACTGTAAGACTCTTTCCTGATAAGAAAGAGATGAGTTATCGCTTCCTATATTTGCCACTGAATCAGCAGCACCAATCAAACCATTACAAAGCAAAGAGACTTTTACTGAAATAATGCTGTCAGCAAACTCTTCTGCTTTCTTTGCTTACTTTAAGAACTCAAAGCATTTATCTTGTAATTTCTCACTGTTATCCTTCTATTATGATGGATCTGAAGTTGTAGTCACGCCAATTACAAAATATACATAATCTTACTCTTAGTTATGAGGTGATTATGCCTCCAGTATATTGGGATGATTGTTCTTAGAGGCTGTATTGTAAGTGTAAGGAAGTAACACAGTGCAAAAGTTAGTGCACTGCTTGTCTTCTGGCTAACCACCTGAATACAGCAAC